CATAAGAGAACTTCCAGTGCATATTACAAATATATCTCCATCTGCATAAGCAACAGTATTTTCACAGCCATATTTGAGGTTGGAAAGAAGGTTCAATCAAGGGGCAGAGAAATGAGTCTTCATGTTAACATTCCCCAGACGCATGACCCTAGACAATAACCTCTCAATGCATCAGTTTTCTCATCTATAGGACGGAAGTAGGCATTCACCTACCCAAAGGCCACAGTCTGGACCAGAAAATCCCTTGGAAGTTCATCCTAGAATAGACTGGTCATTTCCTTAAACTAGTGATTTCTGAAGGGTTTCAGGAATCAAAACTCCCTGAGGTGTGTGTTAAAATACAAATTGCTGGACCCCAGCCTGAGTTTTGATTCTTGGGTGGAGCCCAAGAATTTTCAGTGCCCCAAGTTTGGCTACTGCTGGTTCAGGGACCACACTTTGGGAACCACTGGTCTACATGCTAGTGCTCTCATAGTCCTTCTATGGGGAAGCACTAGTGGTGGTGGTGGTGATGGGGTGTTCTAAAACTCGTTCCTCTTTTTGAAAATGGGAATAAGCAATTAGTTCTTTTTGCCCACTGAGTCTCAGAAGCTACAGCCTCACCTCACCACTAATTATAGGCTAAAAAGAGGCTGGTGGTCACTCTTGAGGGGCCAGGTGAGCCATCTAGAGGAGGACAGGGAAATGGGGGACAGCTAAGAAGAGGCAAATATGCCATCATGCAATTCCTTTGTATAAGCCAACCTTCCAGAACTTTCTCTTTCCATAAACCCAAAATCAACACAGCATTGACTGAGGGTGGTTCATACCTAGGCCCAGTGCCAAGTCATGCAGGGTGGGATGCAAGGAATCAGAAGAAGGCTGAGAAAGTGCAGGCTTCCCCCCAGGGATCTCATCTTATGGGGAAGAAAAAATTCACATGTGTTCACACATTTGATAGGCGTACGTCAAGGCAATTAGTAGATCATTAGATGCCATGTTAGGTGGCATGGAGACAGAGTTCTGGAGAGAGGGTGTTGGTGGACTTGAGAGATCTGGACAGGCCTTCCTGGAGGAGGGGAGGCAGGCTGGCAGTGCCTGGAGGGACGGAAAGGGTGCAGGGAAAGGTGAGGAGAACATGGGGAGAAACCTGGGTGCTACTGGAACATTAGCAGAGAAGGGATGAGAATGAGCACAGGGACTTCTAAGCTTATCTCTACCCTCCCCATTTGGACTCCCACAAGTCATTTCCACTTATTTGTCTCAGTTTTCCGATTTGAGCAATGAGTGTTTTGAGCTAAATCACAAGTTTTCAAATGCTGTTCCATCTTTGACAGACCCCAGGCCATTAGCAGGTAAAACGAGCAGCTGGGCTCAGCCCTTCCCTGTGTCCCATCCACCTCTCCAGAGAACCTCTGCTTTCCTACAGTTTCATGCCCTGCACTTTCACCTCCAGAAAGGATTTGAGAACCACACAACAAGACAGTTTGCCAAGACTCTCTCCATTGGTATGTTGGGTGGCCGAACAGAAAGAAGAAAGCAGCCTGTAAGCACATGGATGTGGCCGGGCTAGCTTCTGGAACAGCGTGGCACAGAGAGAAGTTTAACGCACGGGGGCAGTGGTCAAGAAACCGCTTAAGTCTGTGAGTGGAGGAGTGCCCAGGGAGAGAAGTGAAATCAGGCCCAGCAGCTGCCAGAGAAGCAAACTGACCTGGAAATCTCAACTGCGCAGAAGGTTCTGAGTAAACACAAAGCTTGATTTTCCCCCCTGTCAGCCTTCCCTCCCAGGACATTGTACTGTATGCAAAACGGGTGACTGTGAGACAAACATTTTTTTCCACTGCCCTTCTCAGCCCCACGGGCCTTCAGGAAGACCTGCATTTCAAGCAAAGCTTTTTTATTTTCAACACCCACAGCTTCCATTTAACAATCAGAAGTTTTCCACTTTCATCAAAGAAACTGAAGAGAGAGACCGAGGGAGCAACTTTTCTCAGAAGCTCTGGGCAGATGATTGAGCCCCCGCTACCCACTCACTGCCCATGCCCATTACAGGACACAGCCTTCTCCTCACATTGGCCAGGCACACACGCAAAAAGAACAGCAGCACTAGCTTGCTTCATTCCCACCCCAGTTACCAGACCAAATGAGTGTGTGTGCCGACTTCTTCCTAAACCAAGCTCAGAAGTTAGCTGAACCTATTGTGGGAATCATTTCACCATTTAAAAAAATTGTGCTATACACCTTAAATGTACACAGTGATGTATGTCAATTATTTCTCAAAAAATAGGGTGGGGACAAAATCCCAACTTGGGATCGGGGTACTTCAGCTTCCTTGAGTATAAAATAGGTACACAGCCTACCATTCTATTCAGTCCAAGAAAACAAGTTATTTCTTGATGGCTCTTCCATATCCAGAATCTATGCTGTTATAGATTCACTGGGAAGGAACAACCAGGCCAGTTCCTAGAGCAGGGGTGGGCAACCCCTGGCACGCGTGCCAAACATGGCACACCAGTAACTTTCGCTGGCACGCGAAACCCTCTCTTATAATCTTCCATTTACAATTTTTGTGAACATTTGAATGACTTAAATGTTAAACTACAAGGAACTGGCAAGACACTTGATGTTGTGTTTGGTTACATAAAGGCTTTTGAAAAGAAACTGGAAGTCTTTAAGAGGGATGTGGATGGTGAGAGATTTAGATATTTCCCAAATCTCAAGAGGCACATCAAAGACCTCCCAAAAGATGACAAAACAGACTGTCAAAGCCTTCAAAAACTGTTTTTAAAAATCATCGAGTCAACTATTGAGCAGTTCTTCTCTTGATTTGCGAAATTCAGAGAACTGGGAAGAGACAGCAAAATCCATGAGGTTTCCAGACAGCATGAAACGGGAGGAACTAAACTTACAAATGTTTTCATGGATAGCCATGGCCGGCTTTGAAATGCAGTTGATTGAATTTCAGAGTAGCTCAATTTGGAAGCAGAAATTTATTGACCTTAGAGTTGACTTAGAAAACATTGAAAAAAAGCTATTATAGACAGGAGTATCAGAGGGAAGTGTCGAAAACGAAAAGTCCTATAGAGGACTTGGAATGCCATTCCAGAAAATTTTTCCTGTTTAAAAAACTTTGCAACAGCATTACTCTCCATGTTTTCATCCTCATATGCTTGTGAATCTTTATTCTCAGTGATGAATTTTGTTAAGTCTCGTAATAGGAGTAGCCTGACGGATGAAAAGTAGTAGCTCGTGCATATCTCTGAAGGTCACAAAATACAGACCTGATGTAAAATCTCTGTCATCAGTGATGCAGCAGCAAAAGTCCCACTGATAATATCAAACGGAGCCATAAAGTTTTCTGTCGGACTATCAGTGTACATGTATACATTAAAAAATAAATGTATTTTTCATCATCATATACTGTGTTCTTATCTCTCGAATGAATTTTATTATTTCTTCAAGGTTCTTCACATACATACACCTTAAGAGATATCAAGTAGGCGTAACATGTTCTCAAAAAATTAGGGTTGGCACGCAGAAGAATTTTGAGTCCGAGATTTTGCTGGTTTTGGCACGCACTCACAAAAAGGTTGCCCACCCCTGTCCTAGAGTCTGACTAACTGGGTGATGCTCAGCAGCCTGGGATCCCCGCAGAGGCCACAGTGGTAATAATCCAAGCTTGGCTCGGGCCACATTTCCTTGGGCGGATCTGGGGTTTCTGCTGGCACTCAGAGATACACTGCAGCCAAACAGAGAGCAGAAAGGGGAGGGGTGCTGCAAAGAAATGAGTACTTCCAAAGGAAGTTTTCAAAGAGCTGTATCCAGAGGCACGGGCTCAGCAGTGGCTCACATTTTCAATGGTGTTTTGACATGGAGAGCATTAGTAAGCAGCTCTGTCCCCCAGAGAATCTACTCACTGAACCCATCTAAATTCCAGACCAGGCCCAGGGGACCACTTCAGATGCTTAACCGGAATGGTACAACACCACAGCCAAGTTTATTTCCACTCACAAAGCGTTGTTACACCACCATCCCATTTCATCTTCACATTGGCTGTCAAAGGGAGGGCCATAAGGATCTGTACAAGGACCCAAGGCCAGTAATGAGCAGGGCTGAGGCCCAACCTCAGGCTTCCAGTCTTCAAGTGCAGAGATGGTTGAATGGTTTAGCATGGGCTTGGGGGCTAGCCAGGTATGGCTATGCACCCCTTACCTCATTGATCAACATTAGCAACTTTGCTTGAAACAGTTTTCATTCTCTCTGACTCTCAATTTTTCCATCTGGAAAAAAGAAGTATCACCTGCCTCAGACTGTGGAGGTGAAGGGTGGAGTGAGGCCATGCATAAAGTTCCTAGCACTGTGCCCCAGACAATAAAAATTCAAGTGTAATAGTCACATACACAGACACCACACACAGTACACCACACATACATATGCACACAACATGCACCACACACCACAATGCACACAGCATGCACCACACTCGAATGCAGCACGGGCACATACCCCCACATTTGGCACAAGATCACTTCCCCACCCTCTCCTTCACGGCCCACCCCTTCCTCTTTTTGTGCATTTTATGACAAGCCCAAGTTTGTTTGCAACTTCAACAGATCCCAATACACTCGGCAGAAAGTTTTATTCCAAAGATCAGTGTTTTCAGATTTCCTGCTCACAGTCCCTTTGCACCTGCCCCACATTTCATACTGCCACAAGTCTTTCTTTGGATCAATCTCTACATCAATGGACTCTTCCTTCCTGGATATCCAGTAGCATCTCCACTTTTCAGCAGGAGGGATATTGTCCAGCTGAACCCAAGGAATCCAGCTCCCCCCCCCCCCGCCCCCCCCCCACAAGGCCCCCAAGAGAGGCATTTCTGACAGGTCTTCTGACCCGCAGGCCTCCCTGAAGAGAGTGTGCAGCTTCTCAAGCAGGAAGGCACTTTGCGGCTAAGTCTAAACGAAACAGAAGTGACTATACACACACACACACACACACACACACACACACACACACACACACACACACACCAGAATAGGGAAACCGTCATTTTCCTACTCGCCCTCTGACATCAGCCACCTCCTGAGTCGCTGCAGTGTGTCTGCGCTAAACCTAATCCCTGGCGATGAAAAATGAGCCTCTCCCCCACTCGTGCTGCTGCCTTGCGCCTCACGCCCCCAGAGAAGAGTTTCTTTGTGAGGCAGCTGGTGAAGGTTTTTTTCCAAGTCACATGATCCAGGATGCAGGGGAGAATCCTTCTTGGAACCGAGATGGGCCCAGAACCGGAGCAGATGTGGAGCGATAAGGTGTGATGTGGGGAAGACTATATAAGAATGGGCCCTGGGCTGCAGCGAGCACTCCACCGAGTGGCCCCTTCTCAAGACACAGCCATGCACGAGCCAGCAGGCTCCGTCGCCAGCCACTGGGGGACCACGAGCCGCAGTTACTTCTACTTCACCACGGCCACGCTGGCTGTGTGTCTCATCTTTGCTGTGGCGACCATCATGGTGCTGGTGGTTCAGAAGTCGGTAAGTGGACTTCTCCTCGCCTTTCCTTTCTGATTTACGTTCAGTTTTCCCCAGAGAGAGCCTTGGGAATCAGCTAATAAATTAGCGGCGAGGTTTGAAAATAAAAAATGCATAGATCATGTGGAGAAAGGGAGCAGAGAAAGGGGAACTTAACTCTCTGAAATATTTTGGCTTTTGGAAAGAAAGGTTTGTTGAGCTATCTCAAAACTTTCCAGACTCCCTGAGCCAACAGAGGGAGGAGAGCTCTCAGCTCTGAGAAATGAAGGTTTAAATCATGTAGAGCCAGGGACTCTGAGCAAGGAAGGAGGCAATAAGGAAACCGGGTAACATTATTTGCACAACTTCTCACGTTTTCAAAGTCTTCAGACCAGATTCCCAGGGTCTGTATTCTCAGATCAAATATTCCTGAGATTCCTCGTCCATTGCCAAGGGCTTTTTTCTCTTTTTTTTTTAACAAGAAGCTAAGTGTCCAAGACCAAGGTCTGAAAGGGATGGGGGCAAAAGGGAAGACCAGGGCCGCTTAGAGCTTTGAGCATTTCAGCATTAAAACCCACAAGACAAATTGAAAGCTCCCTTGCAAGTCAGTGCTTTGAAGAGCTGAGGGTCACAAGAAACAGAGCCCAGAGATGGATCATAGAAATGTTTTTAACGCCTGTTCCCTCCGAGACTGCTCAGAATGCTGAAGCTACAAGCCATGACAGGTGCACATGGTAGAGTCACACCTCTCAGGAGGCTTTGTTTGAAGTAAAGTGTGAGCTTTGGTGCAAAAACAGAAGCGATGAAGGAGGAAGCCTTCTCATATTTTAAGAAATTGGAGTTTACAGAGAATCCACCCGTAGGTATTATAAAGAGCAGTGTCTGGAAGTACATGTTGTTGAATTCTGGAGTAAAGGTTTTGTTAATTTCGATAGCTTAAGAACTGTACCCTCTCCCCACCCTGCCAGAGTGAGAACATTTCTGTTTGTTCCTTCATAGTTCCCACTTGTGGTGACATTACAGCCCTGCAGAATTGGCCCTGGTTTCCCTCCCACTCCCTTAGGCTGAAGGCTCTGTAACTCGTGGATTACTAAAAAGAATTGGGCTTTAAAAGGCTTTGGTATCTTTTCTCAAGTGTCCTCAAGCTTTGAAATTTACATGACGCTTTGAGTCTCATATCTCCATAAAAGTGAAAAAAAAACAGAATTGCTCTATTTGATTTCGTTGGTAGAGTTTATGAAACTCGTCATTTAATGGCCTTATCTACATCTACTAAAACTAATACTCTGAAAACATTCTAGGGCACTCTTTTTTTGGTAGAGGCTGTATAATTTTCTGTAATTCTAATTTGATATAAAGACAGGTGTATCATTTTATAGCAATGGCCAAAGAAAAGAAATTGAAGTGGCCTTTAAGGTATTTAAAGTTTGCATCTAGAACTTCTGAGAGAGAGAGAGAAGAGAAGAGAAGAGAGATGACTGCAGTGGGATGGTGATGGTGGCATATAAAGCCAGAGAACTCCAGAATGGTTCTTATTAAATCCCAGTTTTAGTTGAATTGATTCTTTTCATAAAGGAACTGGCATGGATCTTTCTGCCTCATTTTTGTAAACATGGAAAATGAGGAACAGAAAGGGGACAGAGCTTGAACTAAGTCATCTTGAGAAAGTGGTAGAGTCAGCTGCTTGCTTGTTTAATGAGAAAACATTCCCTTTTCCAATACAGACAGCAATAGAAGCACTAAGAAACTTTGTTCTCAGTCTTCTCTGGGGAGCTTTATTATCTTGTGCATCCATTTCTTTGACTTAGCCCTCATGTTTGGATGTGAAAAGATTCCTTTCACAATCTGACTGTGTGGTTTGGTATGCTATGATTTCTTAGCCTGAGAAGTATCAGTTACTCACTTAAAAGCAGTGCTAAGTATTAAGTGTTTTACACATTATTGTTTCTAATAACTTGTTTAGATATTAACTGTTATAAGAGATGAGAAGGGTTATCTCCATGAGCTCAAGCATTCAGGGAAGGCTTCTTCAGGAAGAGGGAATTCAGGCGGACTTTAGGGTAGGTGTAACTTAGACAAATAAAGAGACTCTAAAAGGACTGCTGCTTTTAAAAAAAATCAATGGGAGATACCCAAGGAACGTAAACTCACATCCCAATTATTGAAAACGAAATAGGTTCATGGCCACATAGCACTCTGTGAGGATGGATGGGGGCAGGGGTAGAGAACCATGAGAAAGGTTTTACTGGCATAAGAAGTGACAGTTGTACATAAAAAGGCACATGTACAGACAAAATTAAAGTAAGTCATAATCTATTTTAAGTGATGGAAAGGAGGCACCTAGGGCTACCATAAGACCCCAAGTTAAGGAGACAGAACAGCAAAGTTTAACAAAAACTCCACTGGAGATTGAAGATTTGGGTTGGCTTGAGAGATGTGTATAACTTCAAACAGGTGAAGAAGGGGGATCAAAAAAAAGGGCCCTCCTGGTCAATAGAACAACATGAGCAAAGGGATGGAGAAGAGAAGATGTAAGTCATGTAGGAAAATCAACAAAGATTGCCTTGAGGTTTGTCCTGAAGATCAAGTAACTCCAAGGTCAAACTCCTTGGGTGAGACAAAGAAGGCACTTGGGTTTCAATCACAAATTTTTATTGAGCATCTACTGTGTGCAGACACTGTTCTGAGAAATGGGGATATATACAGCCTTGAAATAGCCAACAGAAGTCCTGCTTTCATGTTGTTTATGGAACAGTAGTCTAATAATGCCTCTGTGTCTGTGTGGTTGTACTTTGTTTTATTTACATTTAAACCAGTATACTTACTATAAAATATTATATTTAAATTACTTAAGAGAAATAAACAGGAAACAAGGAAAAAGGGAGAAAAAAAGTAACAGTCTCTTACACCCTTCCCACCCAACCACCAATCCCCCTTTCCTGAGATAACCATCATTAACAGATACTTTCTTGTCCTTCCCGAAATCTGTGTATCTACAAATATATAGTACACACATATAAATATAGTAAACTCATACATTTTCATCTTACTTTATTGACTGGCAGTATATCTTGGGGGAGTCATCCATGCCAATACATGGAAATCCATGTATTATATTGAATAACTGCATTATAATTCGTCTGTGTCTAAAATTGTGCTCGCTATGTATGTCTACAAGTATATCTGTGGGATAAATTCCTAGCTGTGGGGCTAGAATGTGTATTTCTCACTTCAGTAAATATTGTCAATCAGCTTCCAACGAGATTGTACCAGGATACTCTTGAGGAAGTAATAGTACTACCAACAAAGAGACATCTCTTCCCCTCAAGACAAAGAAAGAAAAGTAATTTATTATTGAGTGAGCACAACATAGTACACACAGGTATGTCAGAATGAAATTCCACACAGTTTATACAGCAAAGCAAAAACAGTAAAATTTCTCTTGTCTCCTCCAGAGACAAAGGGTTAGTTAGAGAAGGAGTTAGGCTGCATGCCAGGTTGACTCTAGAAAGGACCATCTCTGTTGCAAACCTGAGGCTGGGCTTATCCGGCCCCCTGAGAGATCCAATTACATTCAACAAGGTTAGAGCAAAGCAAGAGGCTCAGGATCACTAGGTTTGAAAGGAGGCCCTTTGTAGAAAGAAAAGAAAGCAGCTGCCTCCCTTCTCTTTATAAGCAAAGAAAATTCCTTTTTAAAACAGTGTATCCTTGCCAAGAGTGGAGCAGTGCCTGTTTAAGGGTAGTGAGTGGGGCGGTGGTCTGGTTTTTCTAGTTTACTTCTAAGTTTAAAATAAAGAGGTGTGTTGAAATGCCCTGTGATGCTTCCCTCTACCCAAGTTACTCTCTTCTCAGGGTCAAGCCCTATGCTTGATCCAATGGGCCGTGATGGGAGGACCGAGTGGACAGGGCAGGACTTCTGTTTTCTGGGAATTCTCTAGTTTGGGGCAGAATGGCACACAATGCCACAGACCACAGGAAAGGAAGGCAGTTTCTGCTTAGGAACATCTTTGCAGTGAGGGAGGGGTTTACAGAAGAGCTGGAATGCAAGCTGAGTCTCCTTCAAGGTTAGAAGGATCATGTCTTATGCCCAGAGTTTTATTTTGAAAATGTTCAACCTTCAGTAAAGTAGAATAGTAAATACTCATATAACCTATATACAAAGTTGCAAACAGTGTGACCTTTTGCCTACATGGATTTCAGCCCATCTCCTACTTACTGCAAAGACATTCTCATAGCCGAGAGAGTTAATGTTAATTCAGTAATATCACTTAATAATGATATGCAGCCCATACTTTAATTTCCCCACTTGTCCAAAGACATCTTCTACAGGCACTGTGCCCTGTTTGGTTTGGAGATCCAGAATCCACTCTCAGGTTGCACACTGCATTTGGTTATTCCTATTAATCTAGAACGTTGCTATTTCAAGGGTGGTCCTGGAAGCTGATTAGAAATGCAGAATCCCAGGCCCCATTTTAGACCTACTGGATTGAAATTTTCATTTTAACAAGGTCCCCAGGGATCTATGCACATTCAAGCCTGAGAAGCAATGATCCAACCATCTTCTCTGCCCTTTGTTCTTTGTTTCCATGACACTGACTTTTTCGGAGGGTCCAAGCTAGTTTCGTTGTAGAATAACTCACCTTTTGGATTTATCTTAGTGTTTACTTGTCATTATATGAGAGGAAACATTTTGGTAGTTATAGTGCACAGGTAATGTTTTATATACTTCTTATTGTAGTACTGCTAGAGACATATGTCAGGTTGTCCCATGAGTGGCAATGATGGTTAGTCACTTGATTAAGTTAGTCTCTTCTGTAAAATTCTTTCTTTCTTTCTTACTAATGAGTAATCTATGGGGTGATGCTCTGGGGGTAGAAGGTTAATGATTGCCTGATTCTATCACTATTTCCACATTTACTAGCCGGCATCCTCCGATGGAGAAGAGCTCTCCATTGGAAAGATGGGGCAGGTGGAGTTGGGATAGAGCATTCCAGGTGAGGCAAAGAGTGAGCAGAGGTGCATTC